CACAGCTCTCCCCTCTCCCCTCCCTCCCTCCCTGCTGCACCCGTGGCACAAGACAGCCAGCGCAGGGCCCGGGATCGTCAGCTAAAACAACAAACATGGACGGCATTAGTACAAAGATACCCTTGGGGTAAAGCAGCGCAAATGTAATCTAAGGAGAACGTTATGGGGAAGTGTGTTTATAATTATAATGGGATTTAATGTACTTTGGGACCAGATGATAGCAGTCATTTAACGAGAACAGCCTAATAACGGAGGCCTCACGATGCACGGCGGCGCTGCGCGGGTTATTAGACGCGTGTGATAACGCTGCGCTCGCTGTACTATAGCTAAGGGTAAGGCATCAGCTTACTCCTATTTTTTCGGGGGTTATAACTCTGCCGCTGTAATTGGCAGAGAGCGGGGACGCACCGCACAGGCAGCCAGCGTGCCTGCAGGATGGGGTTTTTAATTGTCTCAAACTGCTTGAGTTCCTCCCTCTTCCAGACTTTAAAATCCAAACAGCTGAGGGGGGGAAATAGTGAGACACTGTGGCTTCAGGTGTTTGTTTACCCTTCTCTAACTTTTAAAAGGCTTGATTTCAGGACTGAAATTTTGCAGGCAGTTAGAGGTATGTTTTTAGTGTAGCTCACATGAAATTAAGCTGCGTGAGTCCCATTAGCAATAATGGAAATCCCACGGCTAAATTCCCAGGCAGCATCCTGAAAATTAACCCCCCAGTCCTTCCTGTCAACTGGTGCGTTGCACTTTTTGTTGCTCCTCTAATACATATAGTAAAAGCTACTGAATTGTTTAAGACACCGACTTCCAGAGCTGCTGTTTACCAAAGACAGTGACCAGCTTGGTGACCCTGAGAAGGGGCACCCCACATACCCCAGCAGTGGGGCTGCCTCCAGCACCTGAAGCCCAGAGGTGAGGCCCACAGAGATGCTTGGAAAGCTACAGCCACAGCCTTCAGGGTCATTTCCCCATGTCCTGGCATGGGGAATCCCTCATCACTCCTCCCCAGTACCTTCCATTTCCCTCCCATCTCTCCCCATCAGTTTCCAATTTATTTACTTTTCTGATCTTAATCCCCACCTTGTAGTGTAACGTGTTTATTAGAAAGGCACCAGCAGCTAAATGAAGCCAAGCTGGGCTCCGTGTTAAGTAGCAGTCACGCCCAAGTGCCTCTCCATGTGCCATTACTCCGAGTGATTGAGGCAATTTCTTCCTCCGCCACGAGTTTCACTTGTAAATCTCTCAACCAGATACGGTGCAATGATGTGCTGCCTGGTGTGATTATTATTAACCTCCAGCATTAAACCCCTGAGTCGGTGGTTCCTCAGGAAGGGCTTTCTGCGTGAGGACCAGGTGAAGCATGGACATCCTTCCCAGGAAAATGAGGGATCCATTCAGATCCATTTCTAGCCCTCAGCCTGATCAGTTACTTGGACAGGGAGACACAAACGTTTACTTCCCCAGTGGAAATATCCTGGCCAGCAGCCCCGGCTCTGTGAGAAGACAAGAACTAGGCAATGCAGCAGCCTATATTTGGAGGGATGATGACAAGGGCAGCCTTGGGATGCCTCTCCAAGAGGCAGCTAGTGTGGGGAGAGGAAAGTAAAACCGAGCAGCCTCCACAATTACAGTAAGAAAGGAAATTCCTTCTTCAGGATGCTTAGTCCACAAAAAGCATCCTGGAAGACAACTTCAACCAGAAGATGCCCCAGCATCACCCACCCTGTTTGAATGGAAAGAGGAGCAGCTCCTCTCCATTGTGCCCAAAAAACAACAGCTTCTTCCACTCTCTGCAGACAAATGCCCTTTTCCATCCTCCAGTACTATTAGGCACATAATCCCCCCCGTTTCACACCAAGAGGCATGCAAGGACACAGCTCTGACTTCTCCAGCTTCCTAGGCCCTGACTTCAGCTGTGCCCACCCCAGCTCTCTCCCCTGGCCCTGTTCTCCCTGCTCCTGCAGAGAACCAGTTGCCCCTACAGGGTGGGAGACAGGCACATTCCCATGTTTTCCTAAGACTAGTTGTGTTTTGCTTTTGATGCAGTTGGAGTTTTCCAGTATACTGAGTTTTCCAGCGCTGCTGAAATTGAATTAGGAAACACTGAAGCAAAGATGCTGTGCAAAATAAGATCTGTTTCAAATTCAGTGAAAAATCCATGACTTTCAAAAACCGATTTTTGATCTCACCCCAGACCCCGAGGAAAGTTCACAGCTCCTGATCCCCCGTGTGTACGCTACCAGGAGCGGGATTTCTCCAGGCACATTTGCTTTGCTGGGAGCCGGGGCAGAGCGCGCTGCTCTGCTTTGGCGCGCGGCAAGCTGACAGCTTATGAAAAGATGATTAAATGTGTTAGACTTTATTTAAAAAAAAAAAGCCTAAATGCACAAAGCTGTTTGCAAGGGGGAGGGCGGAAGCCCCGGGAAAGCTGCTCAGCGTGCAGCCACGGTGCATTAAGCTTCCTCTGAACCCCAGTGATTAGCAGCAGGCTGCGTCCGAG